ATATCTAAGAATGACTGTTGTTAGCAAATCTTGTTCTGACTTTAATCATTTGCAGATGAACAGCATGTCATGAAAACCTAGGTCATTAAAGGTTGTCATGAATTACTTGCTTAAACATAAAAGTATTAGTTCCATTACAATGTTCAAACTAATTTTTGTTCAAACAGTGGTGGGCAGCACTAATCTAAAAATTAGTTCCACTAGCCCTAAAGCCCTAACTGACATATTTAGGTCCCCTAAAGCACTAATGCACTGAAAATTTAGCAAAAGCTAATTCTAAAGCACTAAAATAACACAATCTTCAACAGACAACATGAGTCACATATTGCCATGTTGGTCTCTTAAGACTTCTTATTGACATTCTACAGTCATATGTTATCAATATACGTATTTCTATATATTGTTTTTGTCATGTGTGTGTCTTCTTGAATGGGTGTTCTTAAAAGTAATTTCATTGTGCTCCGTACAATGACAATAAAGGCATCATCATCATCATCATCATCATCATCATCATCATTATACTGTCACCTGGTGGATAAGTGACACACATATGAACAAAATGAGTGACAGCTTTCACCCTCAGCTGTTAACATTAATCAATAAAGACCTCAGTTAGTGCTTCTAAATTTAGCCTATAAATCTAGAAACTGCTAATCCATCAATAAATTTTCAAATTAGTAAAAGCCCTAAAGCACTAATCAGGAAATTAGTCCCCCTTTTAGTGCTTTAGTGCTTTAGGGGAACTGTGCCCACTGGTTCTAAAGCTGATACTTTAACTTAAAAGGTAATTATTTTTATTAACTAACAATAGCTAATTTATAAACAATAAAAACAATTTAAAGTTACATTGCAACAGCAACAATAAAGATAAAAACATTTGTGTAAAATGTTGCCTTTGCCTCTAGAGGTAATAACATTGCATGTTTTTTAATTTCATGAGCTAATGATACAAAAATTATTTCAGTGTGTTCTGTGAGTTGCCAATAAAGTATTTACTCTTTAATTTCATAAGAACTATCACAATCAACCAATCATATTTATCTCACGAAACCTAGAAGTTTTCCTGGTTGTAAATTATGTTAACTGTTTCAACTTTATCTTGCGCATGAGCAGAATTTTAGTATTAGCAACTTTTGATCCCATGAACCCTCAAAGCAATAATAA